TATGATCATGTGATTATACTTTTCATTTTCTTTTTGGGTTAACGTAGCATTGTTTGTTGAATTATTCCGTAATTTTTTTGCACATTTCTCTAAATTTTAGGTACAATTATCAATTTTACTACCTGACTACCTACACACTAGCGGGGTGTTCCACCCCCTCCTTCCAACACCTCCCTTTAGCGTTGCCCCTGCCTGTGCTAACTTTTGTAAGATGGGATGTGTCGAGAATATGAAATGATACGAAAGCAGGCAGATGTAACTTTTTCAACAAGATTGCCTTTTTGCCAATGATCAAAAGGGCCAAGCTCATCTGAAATCTTACTTCACTGCCGGGGCAAACCAAGGACCTACTGGGGTAAATGTCCCAGTAGTTATATAATTAAAAATGCCCTGTAGTCAGCTCAACAGTGAGTAGTCAGTTGGTCAGTTATGATGTCTGTTGGTTAGTTTTTCAGTCATGAAATCGGTCACTCAGTCAGGCTGGCCAGAACTTACGGACATGATTATTCTACTTCCTTACTAATTTGCATATCATCGACGCATAACTCTTTGGAATGTGACTCTGCAGTAAACAGTAAATTATATGCATGTTTGTTTTGGTAAATTAAGCATACCGGTGACCATACGCAAGCTCATTTCCGGTTTTTTTTTGTTATGGCATCGACAACACACAAGCATGGAAGACTGATGACCTGCAGTCCCAGGCCTTGCGCAACAGGGTTTTGGCGCACGCAAGCTACTATGAACAAAGGTATTTTGCTTGTAGTGCACTTCTCGTACGGCTTGTAGTAATTCAAATACCTAAATCGACATGCTAAACTTTGCAAAAAATAACATTTTTGAATGAAGGTTTAATTAATATACATCTTATTCAACGCATTGGCGCGTTCAAAAAAGTGCCGTTTTTAGAAAAGGGTGTTTTGGTCCTTGCTGGATCTCTATAAAGAACTGTTTACAACTGATAGAGCTATCCAGTATAAAGTTGTTTTAGTTTAGTTTACCGTATAAACACTGTACAAATAAAAAATAGCTCTTACTGAACTAGCTCCTCCCCAGGGATCTCAATACAATAAGGGGTACTGTGTCAAATAACTTTTAACTCTAACATAGGCATACCCTATTGAGATGCTTGCGGAGGAGGTTATTACTGTACAGTACCTCTATGGAGAGCTGTTTAGAACTGATAAAGTTGTCTAGTGTAACTATAATCAAGTATATAAATAATGTTAGTTTGATTCAGGGTTCCTTCTGTGGTAAGTTAGTAACAAGCACCAGTAAGAGCTGGACCAGTGGCGGATCTAGGGGTAGTCAGATTAGTCACGCGACTAACGCAAAAAAAGGCATAATAAAAACAATTTGGACTAAGGTTTTTGAATTTTTCCCAGCGCAAACACTTCTCTTCATTTCTGATCACGCAATCGAAACTCTACACACTCCAGCATATAAACTTCGATCAGTTTTTGCACATTGAGCCAGCGATTGATTAGTCAAAAGATAAGTCAAATAAGCGGTATTCAAATGAAAATTGACTATTCTGCGTTTTAGTTCATGTGATTTGATTGGTCAAATTTGCTCAGATTACACATTACAGGCATGTTGATTGGTCAGACCATAGACAATCCAGAAGACATCTTCTGGATTGTCTATGGTCAGACCTATTTTGACTAACGATTGCAAAATTTTGACAATTTTGACTAATTCTGGAAATAGATAGCAGCCTCTGATTGGACAGTTTGTGCAAAAGAGTTAAAGAACATCTCCTCTGATTGGCCTTCTAATCTTCAATTTGGAAGCATTGTGACTTGGTAGCATTGTTGCAGTTCTGTACAATTTTACATGCAAATTATTTCGTTTGTATTTATTTACTATTATCGAAATGAACGACGCAGATTTCGAAAAGGTTAGATCGTTATTTGAAAGTGACGATAAGGAATGCTTACTGGTGTTCTGCGGAGAATATTTCAAGCAGATAAATTCGATGGATACAAGAAAATTGTCTTGGCCGAAACTATCTAGTCTATCTAGCTGAGATGTGTAATTGATTTGAATGATTTCTCGAATTCGCGTATGCCAATAAGGTAAAGTGGTTTGAATTTTGAACAATAAATCGTTGAATTCAACGTACGATTTTCATAATTGTGCGAGGTTAGATCCAAAGTTTTATATACTGCATACATATTCATTATGTGTATAAAATTAAAACACCTCAAGTGGCAAAAATTTGATCTCAAATATTTGATCATGTTGGATAAAAAATATTTATTGTGTACATGCTTTATAGATTATTGATTGACTGATAATAACTCTGCAAATGTACTTTATAAAGATAATAATAATATAATCTTTAGTTATATTTTTAGATCTGATGCAACTGGCATTTGCTTGTATAGCTCTGTTTCCTAAGCATTGACATGTACCAATGACCTAATTTGACCTTGATAGTTTAAATGTTTACCGTGCAAGTGTGAAAGGTCTATTTCGGCACTTGTAGGACACTAAAAGGCTATAAGCGAAGTACTATGGTATAACGAAGTCGGTTTGTAATAAAATAATATATTTAAATGATTAATGTGAATGTCCTAGATCCGTCCTCGCTTTCCTCGCTAGATACAACAGTACATGTGTTCACTGTCCCGTGACTAGATCATGTGACCTATACGTCACAATACTATATCCCTCCTTTCCTTTTAGAATAAAACATTCATAATTAACAACTCAACAACTAAAACTTCAAGTTTGTATAGGTTCATACTATGTCTGTGAACTATTATAAAATTCTGGACTTCTTCTGTTCCGAATTGGATATCTGCGCGTCAATTCCGTGTTAGGCATATCCCCATGAAAATCCTCGATAATTTGATCTTGTGGTTCAAGATTTGGGTTTGGAATTTGCTTAAACACTGAAACATTTCTGGTAATGTTGCCGCTATCTTCGCTAGTTGCAGTGATCATTGTCCCTTTTATTTCTGCTACTCTGTATGGCTTTTTACCAAATGGTGTAGATAGCTTACTTTTCTATTGCTGTCGGACTAAGACATAATCTCCTATTTGAAGATTAATGTTCTTTGCATGATTCCGTTTGTCCGCATATTTCTTCATCTTCTCCTTTCTCTTAGGGTCGTTGTTGATAGCTTTTTCATGGCTGTCTTCGATGTCTGAGGGCATGGGGTCTAACCTGTCTACACTTGGCAGTTTATTCCGAATTTTTCGATTGAATAGAAGCTCTGCCGGGCTGATACCAGTTGTGCAATGCGGCGTTGGCCTGTAATTCAAAAGAAAAGTATCTAACTCATCTTGCCATCTTCTTCCTTCGATATGGGCGGCTCGTGCTGCTTTTTCTAATGTGCGCATAAAACGCCCCGCTTCGGCATTAGCTTGCGCCCAGTAAGGCGTGATTTTCCTGTGGCGAACACCATTTTGATTTAGAAAAGCATCAAAATCTGCAGCGTTAAATGGGGGCCCATTGTCGCTTGTCAATTCATCTGGGTAATCGTGTCTGGCGAATACTTTTTTAAGACGCGAAACAACTGCTGTAGTGGTCGTACTTTTCATTATTTCTACCTCCACATGGCGAGAGTAACCGTCAATAACGACCAGAACAGTTTCTCCAGTGAGAAATGGACCACAAAAATCAGCGTATACTACGCTCCATGGTTTGGACGGCATATCAGTCATGATTAACGGAGCCTTTGGCTGTGGTGCTTGGTAGTTGCTTACTGGCAAGGTAAACATGATTTTACAAGACTTTCTACAGCAGTATCTAGACCAGGCCACCACACTTTAGTGCGTAATAGTGCTTTAGTTTTTGCTATACCTTGGTGCCCTTCATGAGCAATGGCCAAAGTTCTACTCTGAAGACACTTTGGAATAATAATTCGAGTGTCACGTAAAAGTATACCATTGTTAGTAATAGACAGTTCATCCTTTAATTTATGATAAGCTGTAACATACCTGCAGTTTGGATCATTTTTTCATACCAGTGTCCTGTCTGCACTGTTTTGATCACACCTTGTAACTCAGAATCAGTACTTGTCTCTGCAGCAATCTCCTCTAGAGCCATTGATTCGGGGACAGCATGGCTCTCAATAAAGTTTATATACTTGTCTGCAGTGTTAGCAGACCATTCACAGGTTTCTGTTGGTTGACGGGATATAACACATCGGCAGGGTTTGACGATCCTGGTCGGTATTGCACTTGGTACAGGTACTGCTGCATTCGGAGAAGCCATCTCTCAATGCGTCGTGGTGGTTTGGATTTAGACTATAAATCAGTTCAAGTGACTTATGGTCAGTCTAGAGGGTAAATTCTTTACCTACAAGATACAAATGGAAGCGTTCACAGCCCCATACCACTGCAAGGGCTTCTTTTTCTGTCTGCGAGTAGCGGCGTTCAGTGGCGGTAAGGGTGCGACTTGCATAAGGAATGTTGCGTATGGTACCATCCTCTTGTATCTGAGACAGTATGGCCCCAAGACCGACAGGACTTGCATCAACCGTCAGGATTATTTCTTTGGCAGGATCATAGAATGTCATGCTGCAATCCTCTGCAATTCCAGTCTTAATTTTCTCAAAAGCTTGTTGGTGGATGACAGTCCATTGCCATTTTGTTGACTTCTTGGTCAGTTCGTTCAGAGGTGCTGAAAGAGTGGCAAAATCCTTGATAAAACGAGCGCAGTTGTTAGCTAGACCAAGGAAACTTCGGAGCTGAGCAACATTCTGTGGAGTTGTAGTTTTGACTATGGCCTCAACTTTCTTGGGATCAGCAGATAGACCATCTTTGGACAAACTGTAACCATAAAATCATAAACTTGGTTGGTTGTATTCACATTTATCACCATTCAATGTGAGGCCCTTGGCATCTAGCCGTTGGAACAAAGCTTCAAGATTGCGATCATGTTCTTCCTGGGATTTTCCCCAAACTATGAGGTCATCCGCTATGTTATGAACGCCATGAAGACCTTGAAGTGACTGTTGCAGGACATTGTGAAAAACTTCAGACGCAGAGGAGATGCCGAAGGGTAGTCGCTTATATCGATATAAGCTTTCATGTGTGCAAAAGGTGGTAACAGATCTCGATTCTTCTTCCAGTTCAATTTGATGGTAGCCAGCGCGAAGATCTAATTTTGAAAAGACACAAGCACCAGTCATGTCCTCCATGAGGTCTTCCACGGTGGGAATAGGGTGCCGTTCCCGAATTATGGCTCGGTTGGGTTGTCGATAATCACCACATACTCTAACTTCAGATGGGTTGTGGGGTTTAGATGCTGCGACCACAGGCGATACCCAAGATGTTGGCCCTGATGCACGTTCTATGATATCGAGTGCTTCTAATTCTTCATTTCGGACAGATACTTGCTTACGTAAGTGAAATGGTACTCGCCGAGGTTTTTGGGCAACTGGTTGTATACTAGGGTCATGATGTAGCTTTTGCTTATAATCTTTCAGTTTACCAATGCCAGTAAATAGGTGCTGAAACTTTGCGACCAGATCAGACGTGTTGCTTGATGTAGAAATAGGCATGGTTGTTGTTTGGTTGACATTATAATTAACATGCAAAAGTCCCAGTTTTGTTGCTCTCTCATATCCCAACAATGACCCTGAATTTCCTTCAACAACATGAAATGTTGCAGATGTAGTTTTTGTACCGTTACAAAATTGAACTTCAAACTTGCCTGTAGTGTGTAGGGGAACTGTAGAGTTGTATTGGTATATTTTGATTGACGTAGGTTCCAGTTGGAGTTTCGCATTGTTCTTTTGAATACGTTCAAAACTTGCAGAATCTAAAATATTTGTTGTTGCACCAGAGTCAAGAACTAATCTTATATCCGTTTCGTTTATTTTCGCCGTCACGAAAACACCCTTGTTTGTTTTGGTTACCTTCGTTGGGCTGAACTTGGATTGACCTTGGGTCAAGGTGAAGCTGTATTCGTCGCTGTCGTCATTCGCCGACTTCCGGTTCCGGTTTCTCTTGGCGTTGTTATGAATGCTTTAATAGAGTTGTCGATTTCGTTCGATTTTTCCCTGTTTTGTGCACGAAATTCTGGCTTTCGCATTGAGCAACTGCGGCAAACTTTGGCAAAATGGTTGAGCTTTTCACACGAACGACATGATTTTCCTTGTGCTGGGAAAACTTGTTTGTGACCTGGAAAATAGTTGCTACCACAGTTAAAACAGTTACCAGTATATTTTCCCGATATATTCGCTGTTTTGCTTTCTTGTTGAAATGACTCGTTCTGGTCGCCACTTCGAGAACGATTGGTTGTAAGTCGATTCAGTTTGGTATCTTCTTCGTCGGCCATGACACTGGCATGACGATTAGCGGTTTCCTGTGCCCGGGCTAGTTCTTGTAGCTTTTCGAGAGTGAGCGTCGGCAAACCAAAAAAAATTATTTCCCGAAAAAAGTTAGGGAAAAAAAATCTTCCCAGGCATAGTGCAAAAAAAAAATCCTTCCTTGGAAGATAGGCCTATAAATTTTAAGTAAAAAAAAATATTTCTAGCCATCAAGTAAGAAAAAAAAAATTCTTCTATAGGTGTACAAAAGAAAAATATATTGCCTCATAGAAAATCCCCCCCCCCATCACTTTTCTAATGGTCCGTCCCTAAATTAAATGACTTGCCTGTCATGAAGTAAATTTACCAGGAAATTATTCCTTACATATGTGCTGTAGGAAACGTTATTGATAAATTTTCTGGGACATGTGCTTAAAGTTAAATATCTCGGCTTGCAAAAAACCACTCTCGCCTCCAATAAAAATAACCGCACTCTTCTACACAACAGTGACAAGGGAAAAATTTCCTGTGGTTTGGTTCTTCATCATCAACCAAACTTAATTTAGCCTTTCAAGATCACCAGCTTCTCATAATCCCCCCCCCCAAACATTCGGACTTTGTAGACAAAAGCTGATGCCAAATATCGGGTCTGATCTCATTGACTTGAGACAGAACCTTTACATCTTGAACCAGTTAAATTTTTCAGCAGACCAGGACTTGAAATAACAAATGATCGCCAATCAATAATAGGCAAGAAATTGCTTATGATCGGCGGAAAAGCAGGGTTTCCAACCTGAAAAAGCAGGGAAAGTCACCATGATCGGGAACTTTGGGAACATTATTTCAGGCTCTGCCAGACAAACTCCATGTTGACAGTTTGTGACTGTCTATGTACAGTATATAAGCATAGTATAGGAATAATAGAATACTGTGTCAAAAACCTTGCCAAGTTAATATTTCAGATAACTAGATACGTAAAGTAATAGTCATTTGTAATGAAATATTTTGTATTTGAACCGACTGTAATTAAAATATGTTTAAAATGCCAGGTAAAATAAACTTGTTTTCAATAAAAGTTGGCTTCCACTGAAGCTGCAGCTTTGAGGCACCATTTCACTTGTGATATTATACATTTTCATTGTGTACAGTATATAACAAGATGATGAATTTAATTAGATTAGACATTTAGACATAGGTTAGTAATAGGAGGACTGGAGAAAGGGCTAAAGGGAGAAACAAGGCAATTTCACATCCATGAAATGTCCCGTATTGTCACCCATTTTTATAAACCAAGCTCCTTTTGCTGCGGTGAAAGGTGTGAGGTGGGTTTATGGCACCTTAAAACCAGATTGCTCATTTTAGGTGGTGTTCATTGTTCATTTTATTGTCACCCATTTCTAAGTTCTAGCCAAACTCCTTTTGCTCTTGTAAAAGGTGTGAAGGCAAGCAATCTGGTTTTAAGGAGCCAGAAATCTGTGCTTGTGTTCAGCTTTTTCAAGGAGCTGTCCTTGTTGGATCACGGTTTACTATTTTTGGTAAACGTGCTTCCTAGGCATGCTGATGACCCAAGGTATACACTGTAAGGCGAAACAGTCTATATATTAATATATCATATGCTGAACATTGGCAGGTACGAAAATTATGTCATCTACGCATTTGTAGTTTGATAAAACAAAATATCCATACTTCCACAAATATTGGACTATTATTCTGACATCAAATGACGTCATGTAAAATGACGTCATCACGTTTTGCGTCATCAATGACGTCATAAAATTTTGACTAACGTGGAAAAATCCTAGATCAGCCCCTGAGCTGGACCTATACAATTGTGAACAGTTTAGAACTGTTAGGGGTATCCCGTACAAATGAAGTAAGTTTAGCGTACTGTAGGTACAGTATATACATTTAAGTGATAGGGCTATCATTTAAAATTATAGTTTAGTTCAGGTTTCCTCTTCTAGTAAAAGTGCACATATAAGGGATGACTCGTTCTTGACCTCTGGAAACAACAACTTACAACGGATAAAACTTTCTGGTATAACTGATAGAAAGTTTCGCTTTCTCTAGGCTTATTCTTCTAGTAACATTGTAACCCCCATTCAAACAAAGATGGGAGTTATTTTAGACAATACTGTTAAAGTCATTAAAATTCCTTCAAAACTGGTTTTATTTATTTTGATTCCTTTAGAGTTTTGTGAAAAGTGCGAACATTTTCTACATGGTCATCAGATACCTGATGGCGAATAGAGGAAATTAGCTAGATTGTGTTTTAGTTTGTCCCGGAGTATTGACCACGCACATACAATTTATGTGATGCGTACATCATAGGTTATTTTGATTCGCGACTCGTTAGTGGAAAGCAAATATAAAAACGCGGTTTCATGCTTTATAGTGCGAACACGAAATGTGCAAGTGAGGCTGACTAATACTCGTGAAATCGCGATGATTTCCGACGATGTCGGGTTTCGATACGAGTGTAACCGGAACGCATTCCGCAGAAGCGTTCCGGTAACAGTGGAACGCAAATGGAACGCAAATGGAACGCGAATGGAACGCGAATGGAACGCGAATGGAACAGAATAGAACGCGAATGGAACGCGAATGGAACGCAAATGGAACGCATTTAGGAACGCGTTCCGGACACGTTCCGAACGCGTTTTCTGTTAGGTTATTTCTGAACAGTACTGTAGGTACAGTATATACAGTTAAGTGATAGGGCTATCATTTAAAATTATAGTTTAGTTCAGGTTTCCTCTTCTAGTAAAAGTGCACATATAAGGGATGACTCGTTCTCGACCTCTGGAAACAACAACTTACAGCGGATAAAACTTTCTGGTATAACTGATAGAAAGTTTCGCTTCCTCTGGGCTTATTCTTCTAGTAACATTGTAACCTTCATTCAAACAAGGATGGCAATTAATGAGAGTTGACAGATGAAAGTTTGAGCAAGAGTTTTCTCAACTCTCGTGGCCCTGTCAGATGAGAACAAGATGAGAGTTGACTAGATAATACTGATCAAACTAGCAAAAACTCTGGTTAATTCTTATGTAGATTTGAACCAACTCAAATTTCGATGAAAGTTGGTGAGAGTCGACGAGAGTTTGCTGTGAAATGCGCGATTCAGAGTTGCAATTCTTACCATCAACTCTCATTTTTGTTTGACTGGGGCTTTTTTATATAAAATTTATGTAGATGTTTGCCTTAACAAGGGGGCTCACTTATTACAATGGGTACATTAGTTTTTCTATAAAAAAGAGAAAAAAAAGAACACAAATTAGGAAACATAACACATAGAACTAATAAGGACAACAACAAAAAAATAAACATAAGACATATATACATATTGTGACAAAGCAAAGGCTAGCAAAACCGGCAAGTATCCAAAACAAATTGTTGGACAAAACCAAACAGTGAACAATTTTTATCATAACTTAATTGATAAGATCCTTCAACATATAATCAAGTTTCACATTGTCACTTTTCGCTAGCCATACTTGGCCACAAACTTGTGCAGCAGAGGTAAGAAAAGTGTTACGTTGAGCAGCAAAACAAGGACATAATAAGAAATAATGTTAACAGTTTCACGTTTCAGGCCACAAATACATAACGGAGAATTACAACAATTAATTGTGTACAAGTAATCATTTAGTGCACAGAAACCTAATCGTAAACGCGTGTGCAGAACTGAAGCCCTCCTCGTCAGTGAAAAATTAAACCACTTATCGTAACGTAGCGGCCGGTATATTATTACCAGTTCGTAAAGGAATATATGATTTAACATTAATTAACTTTGGCAAAAGTTTAACCAAGGAAGTGGGAGCACAATTATTAACTATTTTGTAAAAAAGAGATAACTTATGAACTTTTCTTCTGATATTCAACTCCTCCCAAGCAAGTTATTTGAGAAGACTTTTTGAACTAGTTCCTGCAATAGCCCCAGTAACTAATTTTGCTGACTTATATCGAATACTTATTAAATAAATCAGTAAATAAGCCAGTAAATCGCTATTCCCAGTAGTACAATTATTCCAAATTGATATCTCCGTACTCCATAATTGGCCGTATCAAACTTTTATACAAACAAGCAAGCGTTGATCTATTAATTTTAAACTTTAACAATTTTAACATATTTAAGCGTTTAAAGGTCTTATCATAAACTGAAAATATATTACTTTTCCAAGACATATTATTTTGGAGATTAAGACCAAGATGAGTGTGAGTGACGTTTTCCTCAATGGGACAACCACTCATTGAAAGAATTGGATGATTTAGCTTATCTTTTTTTGATAGAAAATGTCATAGAACGAGTTTTGGACGGATTCAGCGTCACCAACCACTTATCAGACCATTTTGAAATCTTATCTAAATCATGATTTAAAACTTAAATATTTAAAGCGTAGTATCATCGGCAAAGATAAAGAGACATATTTCGAGGTCATCAGTTATACCATTGATATAAATTAAAAACAAAAGTGATCCCAAAACTGAACCTTGTGGGACTCCGGAACTGACCCTTCCCCAATTTGACGTCTGCCTTCAATAACTACACGTTGCAATCTATTTTCAAGATAACTTTCAAACCATTGCAAGAGAGGATTACGTAAGCCCAGTGCTTCCAGTTTCTTAAGTAATCCGGCGTGCCAAACTTTATCAAATGCCTTGCTAATATCTAGAAAAACAGTCCTAACCTTTTTACCAGCTTCAAAAGCACAATAAATCTGGTGTACAAAGTAGAACAGTTGATTGACTGTTGAATCTCCTGGTCTGAATCCCGATTGGAATTTATAGAAAAAAAAATTTCTAATAAAAAATTGTAAAGTCTTACAATGGCGACTCTTTCACACTGTAAAAGCGCTATAGGTCGATAGTTAATTTTTAATTGGGGTTTGCCTTTTTAAAAACTGGCACTACATTAGCCATTTTCCATGCGGAAGGATATTGACCTAAGGTAAAAGAGAAATTAATTAATTTATTAAAAAAGGAATGAATTCCTCCGAACAAAATTTAATAATTTTATTACCAATACCATCGAACCCACATGCCTTAGAAACATCGACATTTTCCATTAATAACATAATTTCACCTTCAGTGACATCGATAAAAAAAGAAATTTACCAGACGGGTGTAAAGGTATTTCACGTAGAGCAGCAGAACTGGCTCCCGGTAGAAAAGTTTGGGAAACAAAATAATTATTAAAAATAGTAGCCTTTTTTATTATTTATTAAAGCATCATTTTCTAGTATAGTTGGTATTCTAGAATTATTTGTTCTATCACAAAGGTTTTTCGAAATGGACCACCATTTTTTAACATTTATTGAGGGAGAACTTAAATCCTTATTAATCTTATCATAAAACCATTGTTTAGCAAATCTAATCAATTTGGTAGTTACATTACGTTGTTTACAATAATTTTCCCAAGAGTGATCATTTGAATATATTATGAGTGCGAAGTAAGCGATTGCGTTTACGTATTGCCCGACGTACATCGCCATTCATCCAAGGCTTATCTCTTGCCTTATAAGTCTGGGGCTTGAGATGGGGCTTTGGAGGACATCGAGACAGCACACTTGAGAACAGACAAAGCAATACAGTATCAATAAACATGTAGTTTATAGTTTGGTTTCCTTCTCCAATAACACCAGAAAAATGAGGAATGGCCCTTATATTAGACCTCTCGGAAGAGTTGTTTAGCACTTATACTGCTATTGAGCATAAATAAAGTTATTTTAGTTTTCTCCTGTAGTAATTAGTCTGCGCAAATAACGATTGCCCCTAAAGGCCGCTTTCCACTAGAAGAAATTTTCCGCGCGGAGCGAAATTTCCCTTTGTCTTGTGATTTCTAGGGTGGAACTAATTAGAAAAGACAAAGAAAAATTCCGCTCCGCGCGGAAAATTTCGCCTAATTGAAAAGGATCTTTAGTGGACGTCCAGAGTGGGTAGTTTAGAATTGATAAAGTTTACCAGTGTATTAAATACAGTTAGTTTTATCCTGAACTCTTTTATTTTATGTCTTAGCTCAGTATGGATTGCGTAAGCTACCGCGTCACATGGTGGAACGACAATCAGAAGTGGACAAGGTGTTGGAGTTACTTATGGAGGGGAATAAAGTGGGTGTGGTTGAAAGTGGCAGCGGCGAAGTCATTGGGATTCGTGGAATGGGGGGCCTCGGTAAGACCGTTTTAGCCCAGGCTGTTGCTTTGCATATCTCAAAGTCTCGTCAGGTTATCTGGCTTGATGTTGGCGAAACCCCCGACCGCTCAGCACTGATTAACATCCTCATCAAAGTTCTTGGGGGAACTGTATCTTTCAGTGATATCCATGCAGCGCAAGCCTGGCTAAAAGCAAATACGGTATGTTTGAATTTAATGTTTTTTTTTGTAATTCTAATTAAGGTGATGTTACACGAAACAATTTTTAATAAGATGTGAAATTACGCTATACAAATTACGCTATACGAAATTTGATTGATTCGGCAACCCTTTGCCGTAAGAATTTTTGTTGAAAATTGTCGCATGTAACATTGTTTCATGTAACGTTAACATTGTCACAATAATTGGGGAGGAAAACAAAGGAAATCATGACTGTGAAGAAGCTGTTATATTTGAAACAAAATCCTCGTGATTATCGTAAACTTTGACTTCCTCTCATCAAATATTATTCGTAAATTTAAGATAATTTAAAGAATACAAACGTTTTCATCAAGATGAATTACAAGCTGATGATGTATGTTCAGCATTCCAGCATTTACGTTCTTGTTGTATAAGATCATTTCATATAGTCTCATGCTGTATAATAGGCACTATTTACAACATGAGCGGCCGTGTTGTATCGGATACTGTATAGCAACTCGAGCCGAAGGCGAGAGTTTGTATATTCGATACCACACCGACACGAATGTTGCAAATGGCTTGTGAAACGTCTTGATCAGAACATTCGTATTCTTCAACAATTGAAAATAAATGGATGTTATTTGGTGAGAAAATTTAACTTATATTTTATGTAAATCAGCATGATTTTGAATCAGATATACAGACTCCGTCACGGTTATGATTTCTTTTGTTTTTTTAACATGAATTATTAATGCGTTTCGCAATCCGAAAGCCTTGCATGGTTAGACAAGGATACGAGTTGATGAGAGTTAACAATCAAGAGTTTGCACAAGACCGTCACAAAGGGCAAGCGGGGTGGTGTTGGGGGTGTGACATCCCCCTGAAGAATATCGATAAATACATTATGAATGGTGAAAGAGCAAAAACATTATTTAAGTAATCCGGGAGCGTATGAGGTAATAGTATCATTATTAATAGATAAATAATAGACGAGTTGAAACACAAAAAGTAGGGTTATTTTTTCACGTTACACAATCACGAAACCTAATCTTATCCCCACCCATAACCTTCTAACCTCTTATGCATGATCTGAAAATGTAACCGTCCATACGAAGATTTCCGATCGCAGTTTGCAAATGCATCTCCAAGCTATTTTTATCCACTTTATAGTTTTCGCAAAATGACAACACGGATTGCACCAGAAAACTTGACAAATTTTCCGAATAATATTAAAATGTAGATAAACCTGGAGTATCGATTACAAAATGGTATTTTTCAATTTACAGCACATACGACGTGCATGCAATTTGAATATTATACATATGAAATTTAAGACGGCTGTTGAATGACACACGTGCCATGGCATTGTTTAACATATTACAACAACTGGGGCTAAGTCTCAATAAGGGCCCTTTTTCCTCACAATTACGGGTACATATAAATCATCATGTGCTCAGGGGAGGCGCTAGCCAAATTTGAAGGGGGGAGGGCGGTATAAGTGCAATATTGCCTACTAATAGTTTCAAACTTTAAGTAGTACTTCTTTTCCCAAAATTGAGGGGGCTTCACGGCTCCTAATTTTTCCATAATTTTAGCTACAATTTTTAGATTTTTATCAGTGTCAATCAAATGTTTTAACTTCTTTCCTTCCTATCCAACTGGGATTAGATAATTTGCAGACTACCTGACGATTTGGGATGTTCCACACCTACAATCCCTTTTAGCACCCTGTGCTGACTTTGATAAGATGGAATGTCGAGAATGTGAGAGGGTATAAGAAAGCAGGCAGATGTAGCATTTTCAACAAGGTTGACTTTTTACTAATGATCAAATGGGCCCAGCTTGAAATTTGAAAATCATGCTTCACTACTGGGGCAAGCAAAGGGACTACTGGGGGAAATGCCCCAGTAGTTATATAGTTAAAAAAATGCCCTGTGGTAAACACATATAGAGTCTGAAGTGTCGACCTAATCTCACTGTGGACTCACTAGAATTTATTTTACACAAACAAGTTAATATAGAATAGTCCTCTTTGGAATAGAAAAAATTATATTTTATTCAAATAAATCTGCTGATAAAATTTAAACGGGCCGTTTGAAACTGTTTGCGTTAATTTAAGTTATTACATGTCCTGCTGCTCAAATGATTAATATATCCTATTAGTATAAAGTTTGCTTATCAAATGAGCTTTCGCGCGTTCTGATTGGCTAGTTGATTAGTAAATCTGAGGCATTATTTACAACCTGGGTAGTAAATAATGCTTTTCAAAAAATGATTCGGCAAATTTGGTTTCAAAATCGACAAAATATTGAAAAATCGTCCCCAGAAAAGGAAAAGAAGCACAAAATGTTGTGTTTAACTTGAAAGGTAGGTTTCCTTTATTATTTTACTGTGTCAAACATATTCACGGACAATTTAAAACTTGTTTAAAACTTATTTCAAACAAATAGCAAAAATTATCCCAACTGTTGGGAAAAACCTTGCCGTGATATTCTTTTAAACTTATTTTGTTTTGTATCCTATAGATTTCTCAATGTGTACGATACTATTTCTTTTGATATGTCATATTTTCATTGTGCTGTATGATGTTTTGACCACTGCATTGGGTTTTCGAAATTTGTAAAGTGAAAAGTGTATTAAAACTTTATTTCGAACGATATAGTTTTACATTTCATTTTACCAAATTTCTCAGCCATTTCCTGAAAACACATAATGCTAAACAGAAACAATTTCTAATTCTAAGTCTGATGAAAATTCATTCCGTTTTTATGTTTATATTCCAAGCAGAAATCGGGAAAAACGACTTTGTAATAAAGCAATAAAGTCAAACAAGAAGCCATTTTGAAAGCGTGTGCTCGAGCGTGTGCGCACAAGATACACTGCAACAACAAAACGAAACAGTTTTATTTCTGACTTCAATTGAATTGATATTTGGATATTGTTTTATTCATTAAAAATTTATACTAAAACAATTATTCGCCTCAGGCTCAGTGATTATGATGAATATTCACCTCGACTTCGTCTCGGTGAATATTCACCGGTAATCACTTCACCTTCGGCGAATAATTGTTAAATATTGAAAGGAGTTAAAACACTGTAAATTTTATAGCACATACTACTCAAATAATATTATAATAGGTACATAATATGGACTCCAACGGTTTTATCCAATGTTTGGACTTCATAGTCTACACTCTATATATAGAAACAGAATAAAGTGTTCATAATCATAGATTATAAAGCAATTGAAATAAAGACAGCAAATCACCGCTATTTTTAAAATCTGGATGCAAATCCGAGCATCTCACGAGTGCCGAACTTCATCCGAACGGCAACTTCGGGATTTCATGACGTCATTGCGGATAGGCTATATTCTTGGTACACATATCTCGAAAATTGCGAAGAAAGCTTGCTGCCAAAAATCATTTAGAAAAAGGTTTATTTATCTTATTTCTTTACTAGATATCTTTGTTCGTCTAAGAGAATGCTAAATACGTTGTAAAATAATCAAATTATGTCGAAACGGTTACATTATATGCATTTTAAAAGATCACGTGACTCTATTACCTCATACCTGCCCGCATTACTTACATGTTAAGTATTCTATAATGCTTCATATAGATTTTTTTGCTCTTTATCCATTCATAATGTATTTATTGATATTCTTGCGAAGAATTCATGCAAATCTTTTAAAGTACGTTTATTATTTTGATTATTTTACAATTTATGCTGACAGCAGTTGAGCCCCTTGTGATTGAATAGTTAATTTGAGATAACCACACCAAGAGACCAGGCCCTTTTGTCGGAAAATGGTTACTTACACCCTCCCTGCTTTAGACTTTTTCGGGACAGCCCTGGCCTGTCTGCATCAACTTTTATCAACTCTCATGCCCCAGTCAAACGAGAACAACAGTTGTACCAGGCGAAGAAAAAGTACCAGGCGAAGCAAAATTTGAAATAGCTCAAAGTAGATGTGAGTTGATGAGAGTTGCAGTCATACTCAAACGAGAGTTGCAACTCTTATCCTCGTCAGACCTCAGCCTAGACCTAGGCTTTCTATTTTTAGTACATTTTTTTAATATGACTGGGACTAGGGACTAGGTGATTTGGGGCGGGGCGGGGAAGGGTCCCAGTCTTTTCACGTGAAAAAGCACTGAATATTAAAAAATATATACTAAAAATAAAACGCCTAAGTCTGGACTGGTCTGACCTGATTTAAGCAAGAGATGGAAAAGCGTCAGCAGATATAGTTTCATAGCTAATATTCAATGTATTGTAGTGTGACAAAGATTGCTTAATTGTCCTTGATGATGTTTGGGGTGTTGACGACGCTGCTGTATTTGATTATTTATCTGGGAATTGCCAATTATTAATAACGACTCGGGATGCTAACGTTGTCAACGGCTTAGGAGGTTCTGTGTACGAACTAGAAACTATGGCAGCGGATCAATCCCGAGCGCTCTTGTATAAATATGCCTGTATAACGCCATATAAACAGTCTAAGTTAAGTTCAAACATGCAAGAGATTGTTTCAAAACTGTTGGATCAGTGCGGAGGACTACCGCTAGCTTTGGCGCTAGTGGGCTCAAATTTGAAAGATGTTCGTGCCGAACAGGCTTGGCGGGACATTTTACAGGATTTTGAAAAGGCTGACTTGGAAAGATTACGTTCACTCTTTCCCACTGACGCTTATCCTCATCGTAACCTCTTAGCAGCCATCAATGTAAGCTTCCAACGCTTGGAGGAAAGCGCACGAGAGAAGTTCCTAGATTTTGCTATATTTCCAGAAGATACAGATATACCGTCAGATGTACTCGAGCAATTTTGGTTATCGATAGGAACCGAGAACGGGAGAGCACCGTGCGACCCTCGGGAAAGCAGATATATACTTGCTGTACTTGAGAGGAAATCGCTGATTCAAAAAGGTATATAGGGGGCGAAGAGGTATTGAAGGGGAGCTCTATATATAAAAAAGTGTCTGTGTTATTTAAATTTCAAGACTTTTTTTGAAAGTTATAGCGTGGAGGCCAGTTCACCGATTGATTAAAACTGAATTCAAACTTTTAGTTTAAACTTCACAATCACCGGAAAAATTATTTGTCATTGGGTAAGACAGATTTGACGGCTTTTTAGTCATCCTTTTTGACACAGGAAGATAAATGTGTAACATTTACTAAATAAAGCACGTGCAAGTTTATTTTAAATTTGTAGTTTTCATTAGGGCAGAAGTACAGTAATTTCAGTAGCTTATACTTTCCAAAATTATAACTGCATTTTCAATAATCATTGTCTCCATTAATAAAAGTGACGATAGGTTCATCTGACAGATCACATATTTCTTTGTGTAAACACAAGACAAACTATCCGGACTAAGTACCCAAAATAGCGTGGTCTATACTGGAAATGGTTTTGGAATAAATTATGCCTGATATTTTTTGGTATAGATAGTTACTGACGAGCACATTTTTCCTGGCACTAATAAAATTTCTGCAGAGTTCGCTCGGCCCAGTCTTTCGCGTGATGTAGACATTGTCAGACTAGTCCCAAGTCCTCTGTTCGCGCTTTTGATTTCCGTGACGTCACCGAGCGAAACACGCGAAAGAGGACTAGCACGAATTGTTTTCTAGCCTGCAAAGCAGGCGCTCGCGGGCTTGGTAAATCTGGTAAATGTTTTTCAATATGGCGGAATTCCAGAATATATAAAATTGTATAAACATGGAAGAATATGCCGAATATTTACAGATAAAGTGAGTATTAAAGATATTATGGTTGTACAATGTAAATAAAACATAACTGCTCAAGTTAAAGGTATTATAATATCTTCCTTCAGGAATGACATAAATTTAAAGTTTATTGTAACATATTTTTTGACTATTTATAGTATACCCTGATCTGTCGACGGAGATCACTTAGTGCATCTCACTTGATAGAACTAAATGTTGAACGAAAGGTTTTGTAGAATATTCTGAGTGCAAATTTTGAGTCCTGACCAAGGGCAGTTGTGAAAAATGCAACTACATGCCCTCTGGCAGGAATCCAACCAGCACCCTTACTTTTGTAAATATACATGAATGCGCGGTTGGAGCTATACACCTGGACTTTGAAGCTCAGTTAGTTAGGTTAGAGCACTGGACCGGAATCGCAGAGACGCAGGTTTGATTCCTGCTAGATGGCCTATAGATGCATTTTAATTTAAATAGAGAGATTTACGCCCGTATTCTAAAAGCTCACTCACACTCAATGAGTGGAGGTTCAATCCGAGCTGCTCTTTGGTGTCAATGCTGTTTTTGAATAGGGAGGGTGAGTAATCACCGAGTAAGGAGTGACACTAGCCCTCCAGCTATTCAAAAATAGCATAAAATAGCATTGACACTCAAGGGAAGCTCAGATTAAACCTCCACTCAGTGAGTGTGATTGAGCTTTTAGAATATGGGCATTAAAGGGTGCACTGCCAGGACAATTTGTGTCTTTTGTTCATAGAGATGTGGATTCATTTGAGCCTAAAAGGCAAATATTGCAGTAACAATATCTGCAGTGATAAAGTGTACTTGTTTGAGTATTAATATTATTATGATTATATAGTGATTTGATGCAGGTTGATGGTAAGGTGTACAAAGTCATTTTTCCGGAAAAAGCAAGCATCACTGGGTGCAATATAAAGTTAAGCAATATTCCAGTGACATATATCACAAGCGATATCTGTTGAAGAGGACTTGGACTGGTTCATTTTCATTTGCCACCTTCAAAAGAATGTGATTTGCAACCTGTTATGGAAAAAGGTTTTGGATATTTTACATGTATCAAAATAATAAATTAATAGACTGCAGAGTAACTAATAAAAAATAATATTTTGAGGCTTATTGCTGCTTAATGGAGGCATAGAGCTGTAATATCATTCAACAATTGAATAAATTAAAAATTCAATAACAATTTTAATAATAATAAATTTTATAATTATTTTATTACAATAAATATATTTATTATTATGTATTAAATTATTAACAACATTATCCTCCAAATTTTACTCTATTCCTGTTCACATGTGCCTGGACTGTTCGTGTAGAAATTGTTGCTTCAGTTTTTACATACTAATAAGGATTAGATGCTGCACCTTGTACGAACTAGTTCGAACAAGTAGCATTTGAATATAAACAAAAGAATACAGGTATTCCCGGAAGTCCAACAACAAGCCAAAGGTGGGTGGTGATGAGGTGATTCTTGTTTGAAATTACAAACATGATACTATGCAGACTGCAGTTCAGCCAGTTCTTGACTGACGAAATAAATTAACAGCAAAATTATGTACATCCATGTTGCCCAATATGTCTTTGGCCTGAACTTTATCATTCACAAATACCACTTTCACCAAATTCTTCAAAATTCTATGCAGTATTTTCTTGACAACTGTCCGTGTATATGCGTGTATATGGCACCATCTAAATTTTCTGTCACAAGAAAACATTTCCTAAACATCAAACAAAAATTATAAAATAAACATTGTTGGCAAGTACAAGTACACATCTATATCTTGATCTATAAATTCTTAAACAGTGCTGAAAGCTCGCAAATATTCAAACGTTCTAATTAAAACAGACGAATATATGCATTTCAATAGTGCATTGATGAATATCATTATATTTACCATGTATTTAGTTAATATTCTACATTACAGCAAGGTTTATATCCCACGAGGATATCGATAAATAAATTCTCACCTAAATTTTCACCGATTTCTTGTTTTTTGTTGGCATCAATTCCGCCTTACTACATTGCTTTTCAGATTTTAATTTATGTATCACTGTTTCTATTCAATATATATTAGAACCACAACATTTTAATCCAACTTGTCGCAATATAAAGTCAATTTGATACAAATCTATAAACATTTTACTCGCTCATGAGAACGGCGCCATTTCCACAAGCCACTGATCTCAATACAGCAAGTGGGAACACGTTGTCCCCACTTTTGGCTCACGTGAAACATTTTATTCTAGGCCTCTCAGGAGCCGTCAGCTCATTAATATGCAGAAACGCGAAATAGGCATACTAAGAGGCCTAGGGACTAGGCTGAGACATTGTCGTAATATCAATTTTGCGTCCATTAGCGTGATGTCCGGATGTTTGTTCTAATGGACCATTTGCATTATAGACTAAATTTTGATCTAGACAAGTCTAGACAAAAATTTCATCACAGCTTGAAAGAGCATCACAAAATTGGTGAATATTTCGCGAAATGTTGTAAAATGTGGATAATATAGCCTTGCGACGTTTGCCGTTTTTCAGTCATTTTGTGTTACGCACGGGAAATTGACAGCCCAATTGGGCGTTGGGGCATCAATTTCCCGTTTGTAATACAAAATGACTGAAAATTGCAGATCTCGCACGGCTATATTATCCACATTTTACAACATTTCGTAAGGAAACTTTGGAATATTGCTAATTTTGTGATGCTCTTTCAAGCTGTGATGAAATTTTTGTCCGGATCAAAATTTACTCTATAATGCAAATGGTCCATTAGTAAACGTAATAAACGGACGTTCATTCCAATTAGCAAATTCTAATTAGCAAACGTAATAAACCGGAAAATTGTGCGGTCGCGTTATCTGACAATATGACCTTTTTGGAATAAATTGTATTTAAATGAACAATACATATAAAATTTATTTGTTTATTTTTGCCAAAAATTTATCGTAAGGCCAGAAACGGTTAAGCGCTCATTATGAAAAATAAAAAGCAGTAATTTTTCATGGTGTTTTCGGCATGCAATAGCACAAAATAGCCTAATGTGTACCCGGGCTCTTATCCGATTCATTTTTTGAGAGCGTCGAGTTTGAGACAGAACTTCTAATTTCTTGCGACAGTAACTCCTTGTTTAATGCCGCGTTTAAACAGCGATGGATCATTTATCAAAACGAACTTCGCATACAAGCCCCTCTGAGTGGAATAAATATGTAAATATAGTTTGCCTTCACTGATTATCCGCGTGGTTTCTGTGTTTATGCACAGATAAATTAACAAGCGAACTATCTCTTTTTTGCCCAAGTATATTTAGGGGTCGGTTGCATAAAAGGCCGGATAGCGCTATCCTGCAGCAAGCGATTCTTCAGCCTTCGTAAACATAGCTAAAAGCTGTGAAGCTATATAAAATTATAAAAACTCTTTTAATGTATAATTACTGAACTTTATTTAATCTTGATTATACTATTCTACAAACAATTTGGGACAATCACTATATATTGGATAGCGCTATCCAGTCTTTGTACAACAGGCTCCAAACTGACAATCCCTGTCTAGTACAAATCGGGTTACTATATACATGAACTCTCCAAACGACGTTTTTTAGGACCTGAACTCCAAGGGAAGACAAGCTACCGAGTCCATGATCTACTCCTAGATTTTGCACGGGCAAAACTTCGAGCCACAGGCACACTAACTGATGTCCAGCGGGTATTCGCGAAAACACTTCGTGGTCAATGTGTAAATGGTGAATGGACTACTACTTCAAGTACCTCCCAAAAAGATTATTATTTCAAGTACCTACCCTATCACTTTCACTCCTCCAAACAACATAGTGAATTAATTCAACTGCTTTTCGACTTTCACTGGCTCGAACAAAAAGTGAAGCACAACGATTTGCCTTCCCTAATATCGGATTTTCGTTTTTTGGACACGCCCTTGCAGCACGAAATCAAACTTCTGAAAAAGTCATTAATGTTATCTGCCGAAGCCATCGAGAAAAACCCGAGTTCTATTGGTCCGCAACTGCTAGGTAATAAAAATAATGTGCAGCTTACATCACCTCGCCTTACCTCAGCTTACCTTACCCCCAGGGCCTTTTTTAAGAATTTTCCCGTGGGAGGGGGGCATTTTTTGTAAAGGGACCTTTCTGTGGGATAATATATTAAAGGGGCATAGCAATGAGTGAAAGCCACGAGTATGAATGGGGGGTCTGGGGGCATACTCACCCAGAAAATGTTTGACATTTGAAGCACGGAAATGTCATTTCGTGCATTCTGAGCATCCAAACTTACTCCAAAATTTATGCTAACTATACTTGTATTTGAAATAAAAGAAGGAAAATATGCACCAAAAGTTCAAAAAAATATTAACCGTACACTGTAAAAACTGATAGGTTAAAACAACCTATTTCTAAAGGTTATAACCAATAATTAAAGGTTGTTTTAACCAATTGAATGGGTTAAAACCGATTTAAATTAGTTAAAATAACATATTATTATCAGGTCAAGTTTTGCGACAAATAAAAATAGGTTAATTTAACCAATGTTTTTGGTTAAGAAAAATTTATCGATTGGTTATTATTCTCAAATAGGTCATTATAACCATTATGTAATACTTCAAATCCGAGTTAGTGTTTTAGACGTGGTTTCTAAATACAAGTGCCATGAACAATGGCGAGGCGCAGCCGAGCCATTGTTCATGGCACTGGGGATTTGGAAGCCAAGTTTAAAACACTAACGAGGATTTGAAATTGCTTCTCACACATCATTAAACTTTCATAGCAATGAGGCATGAAATTATTAGATATTCAAAAAAGTGAGCGTGGGCATTAACGATTACATTCGCTTGAAAGTTTGCATGAAGTGCAACGAAGCATTCAGTTCGCTTTCGTCGTGAATAGATTAATTTTGTTGGCAAAAGAGCATGGTATCTTCTTATAATATAAGAAAAAGCGGTTTCGAGAACCAGAAAGTGTTGAGCACAGTATTGTGCACAGTATTGTCGCTCGGCTAACAAAGTTGGGGATCCGAAAAACGATATAGCAGATTGTGTGTGCGATAAGGCGCTATCTGGTGGAAAATGAAAGAGCCGAAGTGAATATATATTTTATAGACGGTAAACATTACTGGTAAATTGCTGTTTTATAGTGTTTAAAGCGCTGTTTATTATGATAGTTGGTAAAAAAGTTGGTTTTCCTATATTTATGTAGTTTTCAAACGTTCAGGAAAAGTGTTAGCTATAAAGTGTAGTTAGAATAAATCTTTAAATACAACTTACTGTATTTAGAAATAATTCTAAACATAGCAATTAAATATATTTGCATAATCTTTTGTTTATCCCTCAATTTCCCTATTATTCAAAGTCCTTCCCACTTGAAGTAATTAAAGTCCTGGTCTAGACGGGATATCCAGATAGATACACGTGATGTAAATTAAACCATGTCATGGGCCGAAATGCTGTGAATATCTAATGATGTATGAGAAGATTAGGTCAAAACACTGAAAGCTAAACTAACCTATTCCTGTATAAAATATGTCGAAATATTTAGTTCGACTTACAACATATACTTTCATTTTCAATGAGTTATTTTTTATCTCCACTGCGAGTTAAAAACCATTTAATCGTAGTAGAAGTAAAATAGCGAGTAATTTTCCACCAAGTTTTTACTCGGCCTGTGTAATATACTCGACCATTACACATAGGAATTCATAGGAATGACAAAAACTATATCCAAGTTTCTTCAACCTAGAATTAGGGCGATATTTTCTATACAAATTCGTAGTGAAGGACCGCAGTTCGTGTAAAATCATCACAAGATTTTGAATTAGCTGGTTGACGCGCCGCTTTTCTCGAATGTTGCCAAGTCAGATTCTATATTTAATACTAGTATATCGGACCATATCGGCTTCTTGTTGTTCAATCGCACGCGACGATCGAATGGAGCCAGAAATTGTCAGCGAGTTTTTCTTGCCAAATTAATTTAGCAGTCATTGCTCTCATCTATATTTTTATTTGCTGCGTAAACTCTACCGCGTTTGCCAGAGGTTCTGTAATTTGAACTTGTGGAATGTTTTGCTGCTGAATATAATTTGCGACGAGTGGAAGTTCCAAACTTTCAACCAATTAACATGCTTGGAATATATCACGTGTTGTAGTAATTCGATCTGTATGACACATTGACACCATGCGCCAAAGTTCGATCTTTTGGGAGCAAGCATTCAAAGAGCAAGATTTCTATTCAAATTTTCTATTATAAAGTTCGAAAGACCAGATAAAATACATGGCATTTGAAAGGTATGTCTATTGTGTATTACTCTATTAGTTACTAGACATACTGTAGTTATATTTTTATTAAAATCGAAGGCCTGTATTTTATATTAGTCGTTTCGCCGCCGATTCAGTTCACTGAAGGCATCTAGACGTTCAGTTGTTAATTTTCGATTAATTTCTATTAGCAGTGTGACATACATTTGTATGTTGTAATTTTCTGTTAAATATTTGCTATAAAGAAGATGCTTGCGATGTTACTCTGAGCTAGTGTATATCCACACCGGGCAAGCTTGAAAAATATGCCTGTCCACGGTGGGAATCGAACCTACGACCTTTGGAATACTAGCCCAATGCTCCGCTGCCAACTGAGCTACATGGTCAGGTCGGTTCGAGTATGTGATATTTCGGAACCATGTAATCTAGCAATCATGATATTTTCTGTGTTGATGCAATGTACTCAGGTGAATATGATGCTTGTGGTGTTACTCTGAGTGTATATCCACACCGGGGAAGCTTGAAAAATATGCCTGTCCACGGTGGGAATTAAACCCGTGGACAGGCATATTTTTCAAGCTTGCCCGGTGTGGATATACACTCAGAGTAACATCACAAGCATCCTATTCACCTCAGGGCTCAGTACATAAAATTATTTACATCAAGACAGAAAATATCATGATTACTAGATTACATTGGTATCGAAGGAACCAGATTCTGTTCCGAAATATCACATACTCGACCTGACCGCGTAGCTCAGTTGGCAGAGCATTGGGCTAGTATTCCAAAATTCATAGGTTCGATTTCCACCGTGGACAGGTATATTTTCCAAGCTTGCTCGGTGTGGATATACACTCAGAGTAACATCACAAGCATCATATTCACCTGAGTACATTGCATCAACACAGAAAATATCATTTGCTATAAAGTTGACATGCATGTATACTTTTATATATGTGATTTGTTTGAAATGCAGTCACCTTAATAGCATATAGACAGCAATGCAATAGCCCATCTCGGCATCTCCCAATATTACCCAATGTATCGCATGTGCTTGCCATGCCTATGGTAACCCTCCTATCTGTCAGCCTAAAACATATGTAAGGGGCTGCTTATATAGAGCGAGCCAGCCCAGGTAACCTGGCTATAGCTTGCTTTCCCTGGACGAATGTCTATTTACATGAGCCTCTCTAGATGGGCTCATGGGCAGGCTACGCTCGCCAAAACAAATCACCCAGACTGAGTTTCAAGTGTAATAGCGGCACATTTTCCAATAAAGTAAACCGACATGATACTTCTGCAAACAGTTTCGAAATGTAACTGACAAAAACAATCACAGAGATCTTTTAATATTGAAATTGATTGGGAAATGTCATTTAGAAGATTGCATGTACCTAAACACAGCATTAATACTGTGCCAAATCCTGGGTCATTGTATATATAGTTCATATATATGGAAAATCCTAGCTTGGCATTAGCAAGATTTTGGGTCAGTTGAGGCGGGATCTTCCTAAAACAGGCCAGCTCAATTGAAAATATAAATATAAAATATATAGAAAATAATGACATATGAAAATATAGAAAATAATGACAAAGTCAGGATCTCACCAAAACTGGGCCAGCCCAGGTACACAGGTTGTTGGCTCACCCCATATAAATAACCCCAGCCTAAATCTACCTGGCTGGATTATATAGATATTTTTCATTTAGGAATTTTGGAAAAAAGTTATGCACCGCTATTTTAAGCACCTTTTACCAGAATAGTTGTATTGGATGATGTTACTTCAATTGCATGCTTACATTAAACGAGTAAAAGCATTAGAATTTTGTATTTGATTTAAACATATTTTAATTGTTCAAACAAACGAAGTTTGCCCCAAGAGCGCATCGCTCATCTAGGGGGCTCACTCCTTACAATTGCATACAGTATTTCGTACATGCCAAGTATATAATAAAAGAGAGGGAAAAAAGAACTGACGGAAGTCAAGAATCGTGCGGATGAAAACGTTTTGTTTCATTTATGTACGACTGCACAAGAGAAAATAACTCTCTGTTTGATTCTAATGATAATAAAGATGATCCATGCAAAAAAAATTCAACAATTTGCGCGTCGTTTATTCTTACCAATCGTCAACAAACAGCTGAACAGCAGAGGAGAGCAGTTTCTGTCTTTGGGCAGCAAAAATTGGACAATAAACAAAATAATGTTTTATAATTTCAGTATTAAAACCACACATACAAACTGGGGATACTTTACATCTTATTTTAAAGAGGTAGAAATTTAGTGCACAAGCACCTAAGCGCAGGCGAGTGTGATAAACAGAGGAAAATCTATCATTTGATAAATTATAAATGCCATTTGGAACAGGTAAGTCAAAAATGCTAACTAAAGCATTTTTAAAGAAATCGAGTGAAACTAGCGAACGCGTCTCGATGTTTATACTATTCCACAGTCTTGCAGCAGATGGAAAAAAGGATGCTTTGTAACGTTCAGTGTGACTATTAAAAAGAGAAAAATCTGAAACCGTTCTTAGAGAATAGTTTGTTCTTTCGTAGACTTGTAAAGGAAGTAATTCTTTGAGATAAGATGGACTCAGGTTATTTACAATCTTATAATATAAGATAAGCTTATGGATTTTTCTTCTAGTAGACATACTTTCCCATCCCACTTCTTGCATGAGACGATGCTTACTAGTTCCTTTTTTTGCCCCGGTTACAATCTTAGCTGCCTCATATTGTACATGCTCAAGTAGATCACAATCACTGGCTATACCGTTGTCCCACAATACGTCCGCATACTCCATAACAGGACGAATAAGTGATTTATATAACTTGCCTAGAGTGTCTCTACTCACTTTAAATTTCAGGCCTTTTAACATATTTAACTTTTTATTAGCATTTTCAAAAATATTTACAATATGAGCTTTCCAAGAGAGGTTTGCTGTGAGTTTAACGCCAAGATGAGTATGTTGCAAAACCTCACAAATTTTCTCGTTTGCAAAATAAAGATCGGGATGGGGTGGTTCGAGTATTTAACTGAAAAAGTCATGCATTTTGTCTTCTTTATATTTATAGTAGCAAGCCATCGTTTTGCCCATTTTTCTATTTCTATAAGATCGTTATTTAATTTTGTTGAAGACGTATCTGGATTGTCAACAACATCATACAAAGAAGTGTCGTCAGCATATAATAAAGAATGGGATTCAAGGTTTTCAGTGATATCGTTTATATATTTTGTATTTCTTGCTTTGTATACTGGTAGACAACCAAAAATAGGAAATTCCTTGTCAGTCAATTAATAATTTCCTGCCTTTATATATCAAGCTTTTAAAATTTTTTTCTCCTCAATTTAATTTAGGGATTGTATTTAATATGGATTCATTATATATCCTGATGCTGAATGAAAAGTAATTAATAAAAGCTAATTCTGGCCAGGAGAAGGCAAGTTGTCTAGGCAAGTTGTGCAAACAAATATAATATATATATATATATTAGTCATTGTTAATGGCATTAGTTCATCCCAGAAAACATCCATATTACTTCCCCCACAGAGAAAATTGGAATTTAACCCCCCTACTCCCTTCAGATCAGATCTACTAATACACTTACTATTATCAGAAACCCCAACCCACCCCTCCGGACGGTGGGAATTTCCTCTTGGGGGAGTGTGGATCTTTTCTGGAATGACCAATTCTTAGTACTTCATGGTCTCTTTGAAAAATGTTATTCTTTTGCACGAGAGCATGTTTATGGATTACCAAACCATGCAAGGAATGGAGTTGCCGACTTGTGGTATACAGCTTGTTTTGACTAAAATTTAACTGATGGACTTGCATGACATGCTTGATTGAACAGTCACACTACATGCATATTTTACTTGTAAATATTCTACATTGAACAGAATGTTAACCCTTTATGTGACAATTTTACTCATGAAGGAGAGAATGCTGCCATTCAATGGGTTAAACATTTGAACAATAAATATGTAATAGGTACATACTGTGCCGGGAATGGAACCTTCTGTCCTGTGATTCTGAACAGCTCTTTAACAACCGGGAGACACTCAAGCCCAAAGAGTCCAAGCCCCAAGAGTCCATCAAGCTAACCAAGAGTTCATGTATATATGAATTATAAATGTTCGCAGTAAAATTTTAAGCAGAACAGCATGAAGCTTTCTATTTAGGTATAGAGAATACATTTGCGCAGTGTGCATGTATGCATGTGTAAATATTTATCTCCTTTATTTGATTTTTGTAGAGTTGGAAAACCGCTGTATTCTTGCAGCCTTTACCATATGTGTTGGGGGAAAAGGCAGCAAGCAAACAAATTCCAGGGGAGATATTTTCAAAGTTGTGAAATGTAAGTCAATTTTGTATATTTTATGCCATTTTTAGCTGATTAGTGATGTCAGATCGAACTTATTAACCCTTTAAACTGCAGGGCTTCTCCATTGACGAGCAAAATCGCCTGCTATTAGACAAGTAAAAAAAAATGCAGGGCATGCTGGGGTGCATTGCGGCTCAATGGGTTAACTATAGACATTATCAGATTTTTTGGTTAAAACCCCATTAAGCTGCAGAGCTTCCCTATTGAGGAGTAAAATCGTCTGGCATTGGACAGGTTAAAAGAATAAGTAGGGCGCGCTGGGTGTTGTGCAGTACAGTTGCAAAATGCATGCACATACATAGGCTACCTGGATATATTTGGTATGGTGGTGTTAAGTTTCCTTGTAATATCCTTAATGTTGCATGCATATATAATACTGTATATTCTCATTTTTTGTTTGCAGAGTGATTTTGAAATTCAGCATGATGAGAGAATAAAGGCGTGTTCAACACCGCAGCTTTGGCAACCGGATCTCTACAAGAGATAAGTTCACTATGCCTTAAGAGGAAGTACTATAATCAGCACTATTATATGCTTATTAGCTGCGTAGGCCTATTTTGTTTTTAATGCTGAATACCGCAATGGCCTTGGCAATGTTCCTCGAGCATATCCTACTGGGCAGGATTGGTCAAACTCTGCCAATCGGTGTTGAGAACTTTCTAGCACTATTGTGAAGAACACCAACTGTCACCAAGAGTGTAGTGGACTATAGAACACAAGCTAGAACTACGATTATATGGCGATCGATTGATGTAACATATATGAGAGTTTGAGACTGCGCAAACAGGGTTGCATGGTGATCGCGATCTATTTAATGCTAAGCTAAGTGCTTAGCATTGCTTTCATTATAATATATAATACTTGACTATCGCCCGTATTCTAAAAGCTCACTCACACTCAATGAGTGGAGGTTCAATGCTGAGATTCTCTTGAGTGTCAGTGCTGTTTTTAAATAGCTGAAGGGTTAGTGTCGTACCTTACTATGCGACTACTCATCCTCCAGCTATTCAAAAACAGCATTGACACTCAAGAGAAACTCAGACTGAACCTCCACTCATTGAGTGTGAGCGTGAGTGAGCTTTTAGAATACGGGCGTATACCATGCAACTCTCTAGCCTGTGTGTCAGTAACAGTGTAGTCAACTGGAACACAGACTATAGTAACACTATACGTACTACTATGTACTTACTGTAGTTTTAGATGTTACAAAATATATTTTTATATAAAGTTCATAATATTGTTTGATTATATATAGCGTATTTGGATGATTAATTGCCTGAAGAATTATTGCCCTATTTAGTTTTAGCTTATCTTATTTAGTTGACGCAACATCATTTAACCAACGAAAGTGCGCGCTGTTTCGTACTCCCACCTTGACTGTTATTTACTGGTTGTTATAACAAAAAATATTGGCCAAATCAACCAAAATATTATTGGTGAATATCCGTACCATTTTTATTATAGTTAAAACAACCTATATTTATTAGGTTGAAATATGCTAAATTTGACATTTAAATTTTAGTCATTTTAACTTTTGAATATAGGTTGGAATTACTTTTTTAATTGGTCAAAATAACCATAAATCTTTAGTTCAATCAACCAATAATTAATAGGTTAAAATTACATATTACAGATTTATAGGTTAAAGTAACCATTTGCAATGGTTTGCTTTAACCTATTTAATTTTAGTTGTTTTAACCTATTAAAACAACCTATTTCTTATGGGTATAAACCAACCCATTTTTAATGGTTTGTTTTAACCTATTTATTTTCGGTTCTTTAACCTATTGAAATAACCAATATTTGTCGGGTTGTCCTAGACCAAACCAAATAACCTATTTTTTTTTGGTTATTTTAACCTATCAGTTTTTACAGTGCAAATATATGATTTTCCCAGCCCACCCTCCCTCCCTTTTACTTTATGACCAGTCCCTTATATGCCTGGTTATGACAACCTTATATCACTATGCATGTATCTAAAAGTTTACATATTTAATAAATAAAGATTAAAGTATAAAAAACATCCATAGTTGATGAGTACTTGTTAAAAACCCAAAGAATATTATACGATTTTATTAATATATACTATATGACTGCCAAGTACACATATATACTAAAACAGGGCCAAAATACAAAATTGTGTGTAGTTATTATAGTACAAACAAACATAAAACACCTAACACAAAAACATAAAACGCGTTCCAAACTACCTTTAGATTTTCCAAAATTCAATTTTTCGGATATTTTCACCTCATTTTGCAGATTTTCAGCTCATTTTTCGCAAAATATAAAAAAAAATTTTAAAAATGTTTGAATGGCTTTATCCCCGAGCCGACGGCGGCGAGGGAACTAATTCTCCCCGGCTATTTACACCCGGGGAAACGAAAGCATTAGCGAATTCTAAAGTTCATCAAATATCGCGGGCGTGGCTCACCAACGATGTTTCGGTGGGTGGTCATCCTCACTGATCTCAAAATATGTGGCGGACTGTCATGAATAGCGAACACTGATTGGTCCAATTTAAAGTTTGCATTATAACGACTGCATGACGACAGCGAAATAGCAAACATTTCTTGATTTGATGATTGATAAATTTCTTGCAAATATATTTCATTTTTGCTCGCATTTTTGCACGATTTTGTAAATTTCAAAGGTTTTCTCAGAAAGAAAAGACGAAAGAATCGGCTAAAAGAAGGGAGCCGACGTTAACGAAGGTAAGTTTGTATTAAATATTGATTTTATAATTGCTTTATTAAAACCCGACGGCCTTTGCGTATATCAAACAACTATTAAAACAAGACAGCATATAATTTCAGTGTATCTTTAATATTGATTCATTTTTTATTATATTGAATTTTTTAAATAAATAAAAAAGAATGCAAAGTTATTTGCATGCGAGAATTTGAAATCATTTTATTGCAAACTCAAAGTTTATCGATAAAGCCATTTAATTATTAATAAAGGCACTTTAGTTTTATAAAGAACACTTTAAAACGTTTTGCGAAGCGTTTGTGGCTGAATTTTACTTTAAATTGAAGCTTATATTACGTATAATAACATACCTAATATATATATGTTGGGAAATTGATAATTTTGTAATTGAAAGTGATATTTTTAGGCGATTTTTCATTTGTAAAAATATTCCTAAAAAATTATCGTGTTACCATGACAACTACTTTAGATACTTCATGTTTGGAAAATGCAATGGTTTTGTCAGCAACGAGGTCAGCAAGGCGAGGGAAGGCGAGGGTTTCTGCATGCATGTATTTTCTAGTACTATCTGCAAAATAAGTCGAAAGAAATGTTATTTGAGAGAAAAGCAAGATGCAAAATCACGTTTAAAACGCAAAAACTGTTTCCATAGAAAAACCCGTCAACATAAACAATCATTTTCAAAAAATCTTGCTGATCATCAGTTTTTGTCTGCAAAAATAGAGGATACGGACTAGCAAAAATTACGAATAAGCAAATTACCATACATTATGTTGAAAATGCGAAGATATAGATACACCTTATTATTAAGCAGCATAAATTTTTGTGAGATGCTCCAATTGAAATTGACAAAAACCTTACAACTGCAGAGACTGGTAGTCCAAAGTATCAGAAATTCTGATAGCTTTGAAATCCTCTATACCTAAAATATCATTAAAACTGCAGGGACTGGCAGTCTAAAGTATCAGAAATTCTGATATCTTTGAAATCTTCTATACCTAAAATATCATTAAAACTGCAGAGACTGGTAGTCCAAAGTATCAGAAATTCTGATACCTTTGAAATCCTCTATACCTCAAATATCATTAAAACTGCAGAGACTGGTAGTCCAAAGTATCAGAAATTCTGATACCTTTGAAATCCTCTATACCTCAAATATCATTAAAACTGCAGAGACTGATAGTCGAAAGTCTCAGAAATTCTGATACGTTTGAAATCCTCTATACCTCAAATATCATTAAAACTACAGAGACTGATAGTCGAAAGTATCAGAAATTCTGATGCCTTTGAAATCCTCTATACCTCAAATATCATTAAAACTGCAGAGACTGGTAGTCCAAAGTATCAGAAATTCTGATACCTTTGAAATCCTCTATACCTTAAATATCATTAAAACTGCAGAGACTGGTAGTCCAAAGTATCAGAAATTCTGATACCTTTGAAATCCTCTATACCTCAAATATCATTAAAACTGCAGAGACTGATAGTCGAAAGTATCAGAAATTCTGATACCTTTGAAA